AAAAAGACATTGCAAGCCAATTGAAAGTTTCTCTTCCAAATGGGAATGCAACCATGTGTGCAGCAGTATTGTCAGAAATGTTAGAAAAAAACTGTAACTTGTTAATTTTAGATGATGTGTGGGAGTACATTTCTCTTGAAGATGTTGGAATTCCAGATTTGGTTGGAAGCAACAGTTGCAAGGTGGTGTTGACAACACGTTTTCAACATGTTGCTCGGCGCATGAATTGTGAGATAGTCAATTTGGAGCCTCTTTCGAAAAAAGAAGCATTACAACTATTTTTGAATAAAGTTGGAAGTGCAGTTTTAACTGCTAGTGGAGGCATTATAAATACACTAGAACCAACTATATATATATATATATATATATATATATATTTTTACCCCAATTTATCTACTCAGGCCTGAATGCCCACGTTAGAAGGATTTAAGTCAAACTTAAAAGATGTAAGTCATTATCATTATTCATCTCTGGGTATTCTTTCATTTATTTATAGTCTACATTCATTAATTTTTCTTAGATGCCATCTTATAACTTATTCTCACGTATTTTATTATTATAATTATTTATTTATTTATATTCCTTCTCACTTTTTCTCTTTATATTAATAATTTTTTTTTTATTATTCTTTCTCACCTAATCCTCCCACAATATTATATTTTTAGTTACTTCTTGCAACTTCATTGATCATTATCTATCTTATATTGTTTCAATTCTCTCTCTTTTCATTTATCTATATTAAACATGTTCTAAATCAAGATATAAAAAGCATAACATTTAGATATATACATATATTTTTTTACTTATCTATTGTTGCTCTACCTCTTATTATTTTTCTTGTGACACTTTCTCTTAACTTACTCTCTCATACTTTTTTACTATATTTATCATTCTAAATTATATCTGTCTTAACTCTTTCATTTAATATTAATAATTTATTTATGATTATTCTTTCTTTTTACGCTCCATTCTCTATTATTTTTTTTAATCACTCTTTGTATCCTGATCTACCATTATATATTTTTTTACACAGTTTTCATCTTTGTATCTATCATTTGATATTTTTATCAATCAAGAAAATGAACTTTTTGTGAATAAAAGTAATGACTGAATTTCTACACCAAATTATGTTATCAAAA